AATCCCCATGGATGCAACCATTGGAACCCTAAATCACCCAAACTATTGTAACCAGACTGACTTATGTAACCTCACAGCGATGAATAAAGGGGTTGCCATGGTAACATGATGGCATAAAGGATTCTTGCATGTGTGTAACCAGTGTAACCAATGTAACCATTAGGTCAATGGAGGTTACAAATGTACCAGGATTTGAGAATTTCTGAATATATGATGATTTATGATAGTTTGTATGAGTGTAACCAATGTAACCAATGTAACCATTATGTCAATGGGGGTTACAAAACAAGGTAACTTAATTCTGGTGCACATTTTGTGCCTTATATGTCTTTAAGCAAATACAGATTCCTTTTTAAAATACATGATATTTCATATATATATATATGACAAACAGTAGTGGTGCCTTAATTATGTTGTAAAGACAAGCAAATGTCCCATGCACGTGGTCCCATGGCTTTGAATATACTATGGAGTTAATAATGTTTTTATTATCCGCTTAAAAGAGTACTTTGATGTAGGCAAATTGAAAAAAATGTAGCTTACACGTACTTATAGGCACCAGAAATTTTCTTTACGGGAGTGTGAGGGGGTGGTGGGGGGCTGGTCTGCGTTTAAAGAAACGAATTAATCTGGCCTTCATTTTGATAATTAAAAAAATCGGGCCTAGTATACAGTTGCTCAAAGACAATTCTGAATTCATCTTCAATAAGCATGTATGATGTTGAATAATAAATTCTGGCTTTGGATTGATTGATAAAAAAATTGCTAGGTTTGCATTTGAATAAAAAATAAATCTGTCTCGATTTAAAACATCTACTAAAGGACGTTCAAAGGATCCCCTGGGCCGTCTACATGACCCCCTGTTGTCTGAACATTCTACTATAGGGCGTTCTATAGGAACCCTTGTTAATTGTTTATAATGAAGCTACTATTATGGAGTTCTACAGGATCCCCTGGGCGGTCTACATGATCCCCTGTTGTCTGAACATTATATATCTACTATAGAACGTTCTATAGGATCCCTTGTTGTTTGTTTTTCATGTATATACTATAGGGCGTACTAAAGGATCCCCTGGGCGGTCTACAGGATCCCCTGTTGTCTGAACATTATATATCTACTATAGGACGTTCTATAAGATCCCCTGTTGATTGTTTTTCATTTTTATACTATAAGGCGTTCTACAGGATCCCCTGTTGTTTGAAAATTATGCATCTAAGATGGGACCTTCTATAGGATCCCCTGTTCTTTGTTTATGATGTATCTACTATTTAACGTTCTATAGGATGCCCTGTTGTTTGTTTTTGATGTATTTATTATAGAACGTTCTGTATGATCCCCTGTTGTTTGTTTATCATGTAAATACTATAGGGCTTTCTACGGGATCATGCTGGTCTACAGGACCCCATGTTTTCTGAATATTATTTATCTACTATAGGACATTGTATAGGACCCCCCTAATGTTTGGTTTTCATGTATATACTATAGGGCGTTCTACATGATCCCCTTTGCAGTCTACATGATCCCCTTTGCAGTCTACATGATCCCCTTTGCAGTCTACATGATCCCCTGTTGTCTGAACATTATATATCTACTATAGTCCGTTCTATAGGATCCCCTGTTGCTTGTTTATAAGGTATCCACTATAGGACGCTCTACAGGATCCCCTGTTGTTTGCAAATTGTGCATCAAATATAGGGCTTTCTATAGGATCCCCTATTGTTTGTTTATAATGTATCTACTACAGGGCGTTCTGTAGGGTCCCCTTTTATCTTTACATTATGAATTTGTTATAGGGCGTTCTACAGGATCTCTTGCTGTTGGTATATGATATAGCTATTACAGGACGTTCTATAGGATCCGATAGGACAATCTGCCGAGAAATTGAGTAAAATCATCTGGAATTGCAATTTTAACTCACTTTGCTTTCTGGTTTCACATGAGCATCGGTAATTGTATTCTTAGAAGGACATGTTTAAGCATGTACTTTTCAGGAATCCCTGGTGCTTTTGTCTGAAGAATCTTTGTTCACGAGCATCGCACAAGTTGGCACTACGAGGCGGGTGGGAAGCAAGAAGGTGAACTGTGTTTTTTTATCAAAAGTACTGCTTAAGTGGACGCTAGGGGCCGTCTTGACCTCATTGTAGGGTATGAATGATTCGTTCATTGTTGAAGACCATAAATCGACTGTCAATATGAAGAACAGGAATAAAAAATCAAAGCACTGTAAGCGCTGTAGGCAGTTAACCAAAAACCAAGGGAAACGTAATTATGAAAACTGTGGCAGTGTTGCTTCAATTTTTTTTTAAGATTTGAAAGAACAAACATTAAACATTCGTATATTGTACATTTATGTTCATTAAATGAATTGATTATTAAGGCAAATTAATTAATATTTCATCAAGGTTTTAAAAAGCAACTCATATATCAATGTAAATGACCCCCATCTTCACCCCCAAGTGCATGATGTTACTCCATATCAAGTTTGGAATAAAATGACACGTGATATTAAAACAGTTGGTCATACATTCTCGGGCTTTACACTGCTTGAAAGATTTATATGTTTCCTTTAAAATGAGCCACAAATGAAAAATATTATAGGCCCAGAAATAAATTAATAAATAATTAAAGTAAATTCAATTAACCTAGACTCATTTTTTGCATCAATAAAATTTTATAATATAAAACAAGAAATAATTGTAACAGGATGCCGTTACAAAGTCTCCCAAACAAAGCCCCCATAATTCGTCATTCCCATGGTCTCTTGACATTAGGCAAAGTCCAGTTCATATTGGTTTGGTCTAGTAAAGTGATATGCCTATGTGACACCTAGGAGATTGACCCTGTATGTCATTCAAATCTTTTTGAAATGATGAACAGGAATAAATATGGTTTAGGTGTGGGTATCTCAACCATTTCCAAGTTCTCAGACAGGAGGGGGTGGGGTGACCCCAGGGACTCACCATATATTTCATTTGATTTGTTATATTGTCCCATACATGAATACATATGGTTTAGGGCTGGGGATCTCTACCATTTCCAAGTTCTCAAACAAGAGGGGGTGGGGTGACCCCAGGGACTCCCCAAATATTTCATTTGATTTGTTATATTGTCCCATACATGAATATATATGGTTTAGGGGTGGGGATCTTGACTGTTTACAAGTTCTCAAACAAGAAGGGGTGGGGTGTCCCCATGGACTCCCCCTATATTTCATTTGATTTGTTTTATTGTCCCATACATGAATATATATGGTTTAGGGTTGGGGATCTCGACCATTTCCAAGTTCTCAAACAGGAGGGGGTGAGGTGACCCCAGGGACTCCCCAAATATTTCATTTGATTTGTTATATTGTCCCATACATGAATATATATGGTTTAGGGGTGGGGATCTTGACTGTTTACAAGTTCTCAAACAGGAGGGGGTGGGTTGTCCCCAGGGACTCCCCTATATTTCATTTGATTCGTTTTATTGTCCCATACATGAATGTATATGGTTTAGGGTGGGGATCTCAACCATTTCCAAGTTCTCAAACAGGAGGGGTTGAGGTGACCCCAGGGACTCCCCATATATTTCATTTGATTTGTTATTTTGTCCCATACATTAATATATATGGTTTAGGGGTGGGGATCTCGACCGTTTACAAGTTCTCAAACAGGAGGGGGTGGGGTGACCCCAGGGACTCCCCCTTTATTTCATTTGATTTCTTTTATTGTCCCATACATGAATATATATATGGTTTAGGGGTGGGGATCTCGACCATTTCCAAGTTCTTAAACAGGAGGGGGTGGGACAACACCGGGGACTCCCCCAAATTATTTTCATTTGATTTCTTTTATCGTCCCGTAAAAGTATATATATTGTTTAGGGGTTTGGATCTCGACGGTTTACAAGATAAAAGTACATTTTCAAATTGAATGGGGTTAGGATGACCCCCAGGGACTCACCCTATATTTTGGTTGATTTTTATTATTGTCCTGTTCTCATTACTGAAGACTGCATGTGTCTATCACTTACTGTTTTCGAGAAATAGTCATTTGAAAATTTAAAAAAATAAAATCCCATAGGGTTCTATAGTAAACCCTCCCTTCTTCAGGCCCCTCCAAATACCCCTAAATAAAACCCAATGCACAAACAAAAGATTAATGGCTCCGCAAGACATGTTAGTCTTATATTTTATGAAACCCTAAGTAAATCTGACAAACGGTCAAAGTTGTCTTCTTAGACGGTTTGAGTGGATTAGTCTTATATTTTATGAAACCCTAAGTAAATCTGACAAACGGTCAAAGTTGTCTTCTTAAACGGTTTGAGTGGATTCGGTCCGACTTGTCTCGGGGACGAGTTGTCCACATTACTTAAAACATCCCATCAACGTCGATTTCCGCATCTGTTTCATGACCTCGTTTCATTCATAAAATAACAACCACCTTATTTGGCAAGATGAGTTAAAAATTACCGCCCACTTATATAACTTTATTTCCTCTATCATAGAGATTTGTTGTACATGAACAATATTCCTTCGCATTTTGCCATTTGGGAAATATAAACGACTTGTAATTACCGATTTTCGGCGATGAAATATTTCATACAATTGTTCTTTGACATCGTAGCCAAAAGCACAGGGGATAATAAACTACGTACGGATTTCTATTGAGCACTACTTCCTATGTGCAACTTCAACAGTTTTGGGTAGTTCGACGATCATTTAAGGTTTTTCTGGTCATATTTTTTGTATTCCAGAAATAAAAGTATTAAAAAAAATGTCCAATTAGTTATCAATAACATAATAGCCAGCTAGATAATAACACGTATTTCAGCATTTATTGGGTAGAACACAAATCTAGGGTGCTCGCATAAGGCAGCTTAACTGCCTAAAAACCGGATTATTGATAATTTGTATCCTTTCTATGTATTTTGTGAGATTTTGTCCCATGTACATTTACTCCACATCCTTTTGTTTTACTATGAAAAGTTGTCCCTTTGTGAAACTAATCAGCTACAATATGTATCAATACTTTATTAAAGTAAAATAAAGACAGCACCTTCGTTTGAATAGATTACTCATTTATAACAGAATTGCAAAATACATAACATAATTCTACTATTTAGTGAAAAAAATACTGCAACCACAACCTATTGGGATATAAAGCTTTGATCCAATATTCATGTATTTATTCTATTTCTAAAACACTGCATGATACACGACAAAAACAAAAGGTTTTAATTTGAAAAAAAAAACAATCTGATTAAATTATTTTGAATTATAAAGTGAGTCACTGAAATTGATACAGCTTATATCTACTAATATGATTCGTACTTTTATTACATGTTTCATAATATTTTATCATACAAACTCGGCCGGTTGACAGAAATCATTGACAAAGGTTACATGTTTTCCTTCATACACCTTATTTTGTATTTGTGTATCAGAGTATTTTCGTGGAAATCCTAAAAATTACAATATGGTTGAAATTTGAATCAGTAGTTCTATTTTACGAATATTCTAAAAACAAATAAACCACATAAAAAAGCATCACATGTTTCATTGTGTTCATCATTAAGTATCCATCAGTTAATTAGCAGTTATATGAATTAGCGTTTCAAACTCGGCAAAGGATGAAGTAACCTGTCAGCTTCAGGTACAGTTATCTTCTTGATGTGAGAAACAACTAAGATTTCAGCTTCCACAAACAAAACATCTTTGAAATATCTTGTACCACTGTTCATATTCTGAGACATCCTATAAAAATGTGAAAATGATAATTCGTATTTCGCAAAACTTCAAATCTTCAAGTTTGCTATATATATATATATATATATATATATATATATGCATATATGTAACTAGGTTAATCGTCCGTCGGATGGCCCCATGTACAGGGACATGTCACGCCATGTGCATGTAAAAAGTAGATAACAAAAATACCTAACTCCAAGAAATATTCATGAGACCCCTTCTGCAGATTTCGTTTAGAGTAGGTTCTTTTGGGCCGCTGCAGAGGCAAAAATTGTTAGGGACCCCATGATTTATTCTATGGAAGTGACACTCAAAAATTGCAGACGTTGTAGCTATATATGTCTACATTGGCTAAAGGTTAAGTGGGAAGGTTGAGATCGCACAAAACATGTCTAACCCACCGCTTTTTTGCGCCTATCCCAAGTCATGAGCCTCTGGTCTTTGTAAGTCTTGTATGTTTTTAACATTTTAGTTCATTTATATGTTTCAGAATTTAGGGTGACGTCCATTTTAAATGAACTGGTACACATTTTTGCTTAGGGTGCTGCTGTGTTGAAGATCCATTAGTGGCCTTGGGCTGTTTTATGCTCGTTGGTCGGGTTGTTGTCTCTTTGACGCATTCCCCATTTCCATTCTCAATTTAAATGATTATGGGGTAACATACTTCCTCATTAATATATTTGAAAGTTCAGACATTTCATACTGTAAATGATGTTTCAAATATATTAAAATCTTACATTATATTACATTTTATTTTAATATGTTAAAAAATAACCTTAGTATATGAGATATTTATCATTTTGGTCGCCTCTCAAACATTACTATTAATTGGCTCTTGTTTTTATTACCTCTTTAAATAATATGGACTTGTTTTTTGTGTAAGTATTAAGTGGGACATTTAGAAAATATTGTATAGGATGAAACGCCTTTTTAAAGGAATTTATTGGTGTATAAACTGGACCAATTCACTCACAAACTAATACAAGTCCGAAGGACTTTTGTGATATGTTTGTGAGTGACTTGGTCCAGTTTATACACCAATAAGTTCCTTTTAAAAGGCGTTTAATCCTTATAATTCTTTAAAATTGGAGATAAGTGCAAATAGGTATTTTTGACGTCGAGCCGGTCTGTCTTATTTTCGATGCCATCTTGTTTCCATTGATTACAAAAAAGTAGTTCTGTCAACGTCGTTTATCGAAAAATAAAAAACTTCAAGAGTGACTACCGGAAGCCTTCTCGACCAATCATATGAACGTATTCCCTAATATGCATATCATTTAAGAATTATAATGGAATAATATCAAGTTCTAAATGATCATTCTCAAGATGTTTGACACATAATACCTTAACGACATGAGGGAATAGATGTATATAAAATGTAACTAACACCAAGTTCATTTATCAAATTAAATTCCAATTTTGTCATAAATAAATTGATATAGATCATAAATTAATATCATCAATGTCCAAGCACCCTACAATATTGCTTCACTTTCAAATATATCTTCATAAAACTAACTTTCAGGCCAATTGGAATACAAAGATAATTCCTTACAATAAAACTTAAAGGAAACACTTTCTAACTAATAAATCAATAGTAGACTTTAATTCTTAATATTATTGCAATCACTTACATTCTGTCTAGTGTTGCCTGTAGCTTGGAATTATTGATACTGTCTTTGACTGTCAAATAGTGTCTATCTGTAAATCCCAATCGCCTAAAAATATAACACAGAAAAACAATGCAACTGCTGAAAAGGACTTAAAATGACCTGGAAGATATTTACCTTATCTACTTTAATCATGAATTGTTATAGACTATAAACTTGATTGAAATATACACGAGTTTTAAAATTTAAAAAAACTGTTCATACTTACTGTATTGATTTAATTTTCCATTCCGAAAACTCGGCGAGAACCAAGGCATACAACTCTTTGCCTGCCTGAAAGTATTATGTAAAATGATCAGTTATATTTTGAAAACATGGTGAGAACATCATTAAAGTGGATTCATTTTAGTTCCAATGTCTATTTGAAAGAGAAAATGATACATGTATAAGAGAAGTATTGCTACGATGTTGAATGGTTTTAATATCAGGATAATATTTTGACCCATTTTTCCTCAATAGGAAGAAAGGGTCATCAGTGATTGACTCTCATACATCTTACTTGTAATAGTAGTTTACAGACATACAACACAAATAATTGCAAATCAGTTTGAACTTAAAAAAAATAAAAACCCAAGTTAGTTAGACCTGTGGCCATAAATTTGACACAATTCTAGTCATCTTCAACATATTTTCTATCATAAACATTGCAGATCATTTAACATGTTTAAAGGATTATTGTCCTTCTTGCAGTGTCAGCATATAGATAGAAGATAAATTACATCATTGAATGAATTACGTATTAAAAAACTAAAAAGTATTGAACCAATAGTTAAGATTAGACATATTTATATTTACAGTATTTCCAAAAATGTTGTCTTTCGCATATCCCAGCTGTGGCTTTCCTCATTTCCATATGCTTTGCTAATGAAATACCGGTAATCCACCGTATATGCCTCCAATGTGCACTTTAATAGCTGTATGTAGTGTTTATATAAATAAAAAGATAAGATAAGATAATATAAGATAAGATATTTTCATTAAAAGTAAAAATGTGGTATGAGTGCCAATGAGACAACGCTCCATCCAAGTCACAATGTATTTAAAGTTAACAAGTATAGGTCGAATTACGGCATTTCTTTGGATATTTGTGCTAGCTGTTATTCATTCTATTTATAGTTGAAAAGTATATGATACATAACGATAATATAAAGTTTTTATTTGAAAAGCTATTAAACCTTTTTTCATTCATATATGATCTACCAATATTGTGTTAAAGTGGTATAATGTCGCATCATTTTTTAAACAAAGCAAGCACTCAATAGTGTGAAACGTTTGAAAATTTAAATTATGAAAAGCTCACCTAGCACTTCTATGACCTCTTCCAGTTTGTGTTTGACGTGGACATCAAACTGTATAAGAAAAAAATACATAAGTAAAACAAATGATCTTTCATTATAAAATCACAAACATAAATTCTCAAAAAATGTCTCAATTATCTTAAATTCTTATCAATGTCCCTACCTCAGACAATCTTTTCCAGTACTAATGCTCTTAAAGGAAGACAATAACTATCAAAACAAAGAAGTTAACAAAGACTCATAAAACCAAAAGACATTCACAGCAACTATAAATAAATAGGAGCCAACACGAACTCAACTAAAACCGGGAGTGTTATAAGGTGCTCGGGGAGGGTAAATATTCCCTGCACTGTATACGACACCCTGTTCAGTCCGGTAATAATGAAAGGTTGTTATGACTGCGGAAGAATATCAAATATGAATTCCGACACACTTTTGGTATTTAACCTATCATCAGTAGTCATTTCAAGAAAAAGGTGTAAATATGAAACAGATTTATCTGTGTCGGAAGTATCTTTATTTTCAATAATTTAACTATATATTAAATGTAAGTGATCACTATGGCAAGCCATTTTACTGTTTATTCTAACTTCAAGATCTCTAATTAACTTTATAAGATATCTCATATAGTTTATGAGATATATTATATAGTTTATGAGATATCTTATATAGTTTATAAGATATCTCATATAATCTATAAGATATCTTATATATTTTTCTAATAAGATATCTTATAAACTATATAAGATATCTTATCTATATTTTTTTATAAGATATCTTATTTATATGTTTTAAATAAGATATCTTATAAACTATACGAGATATCTTATAAACTATATGAGATATCTTATAAACTGTTTGAGATATCTTATCAAGTATATAAGATATCTTATCAATTATATAAGATATCTTATCAAGTATATAAGATATCTTATTTAAAAATTGTTTATAAGATATCTTATAAACTTTGTCAAATATCTTATATATACTTTATAAAATATCTTATATATACTTTATAAGATATCTTATATATACTTTATAAGATATCTTCTTCAGTCTATAAGATATCTGCTATAATTTTCTTTATAAGATATCTTATAAACTCTATAATATATCTTATATACTTTATAAGATATCTTCCAAAGTTTATAAGATATTTTATATACTTTATAAGATATCTTCTGAAGTTTATAAGATACCTTCTAAATCATATAATATATCTTATAAAATTAATAAGATATCTTATAAAGTATATAAGCTATCTTTTTAAGTTTATAAGATATCTTATAAAAACTAGATTATATAAGATTTCTTATATATTATATGAGATATCTTGTATATTATATTAGATATCTCATATATTATATGAGACAGATATCTTATATATCATATGAAATATCTTTTATATTATATGAGATATCTTGAAGTTAGAATAAATAGTAAAACGGCTTGCCATAGATCACTGAATCTATTATCATTAAGAGACAGTACATCATCAATATATCGGAAAGTGATATTAAAAGACGGGGTCAATTTCTTTTCTCTTTTCTGTACAAATCCATAAGAATACGAAAACAACTATAATTGCCATTGCGAGCAATGGCGGATGTCATACTGTTGTCAAGTTGCCAGACGACCTTGCCATTGCTAGGTTTACGTCAGCAATATGGAAAAAAAATCCATACTCAAAAAACACAACTCCCTACTGCTATGTAGTTCTGAGGACCATACAAATTGTTGACACCTACTTTGTATATTGAATATCATGGTTCTATGCTCAGGCATACTAGAATTATATACAAAAAACATAAAAAATACTGTTGACCAGAGTTTATAGTAATCGCGACCATCTTGGACCATCCCTTTATTAAAAAGCACTACTTTATATGGTGGTTTACACTATGCCATAATTCCATAAAGATGAATGTGTCTATCCTTTTCCGAGAACTTGCCGGGACAATAAAGTTATGGGGAAAAAGGAGATGATGAAAAAAAAGAAACGAACAATAACAATATGCCCCCCCCCCTTTTGAAAGGGATAACATAATTAAACTTACTGAATTTAGAATCATTTGGTTTCTTTAATGTCACTTTAACTACTAATAGTGAAAGTTTCATTTAAACCCATGAAGAAAAATGGTCTTAATTTTGTAAACTATTAGATTATGATTATGAAATGAGTTAAAGGAAATAATGAATTAACAGGACATAAATATATCGTATCCTAGGTATATATGTTGCTCTTCAAGTATGCCACATTTGTAGCACAAATTGTATAGCAAAAACATAAGGCTTACCAATGTTGCTAAGTTCTGTCCTTTCACAGATGAGAATCCTCTGGTGATAGTCATTGGCATTGTATCAAAATCATCACACATGGCACTTGTCAGACTTTGACACTGTAAACATGTCTGTAATAAGTAAAATAACAAATATACCGAACACCAAGGAAAATTTAAAATGGAAAATCCTTACTCAAATGGCAAAACAAAAAGCTCAAACTTATCAAACGAATGGAAACAACTGTCATAGTCCTGACTTAGTACAGGCATTCCATTGCAGAAAATGATGGGTTAAACCTGGTTGTAAAGCTAGCTTAACCTCTAACTTGTATTACAGCCGCTTATAAAATCAGTTATATTTTAAACAAATTATATACATATGCATAAAACAGAAATATAGGTCTTCCAAATTAAAAACTGTCAAGATTCTGAAAGCCACTAGGTAAACTCGATATGGTCTAAATAATAAATAACGGGTATCCTTAAAAAGCAATGTTTGATAGGTAAACATAAAATATGTTTCCAATTACTATCATAAACCATATAAAAAAATGTATCCCTGAAGAACTGAATGCAGTTACATATATCATCATGAGATAAACTCACCTTTGCTGACACCGATATAAATAGCCAATGGATGTCCTGTGTGCATGATGATGAAGCTGTTTCAATGCCCTTTTCCTTAATTTGAATGTGTAAGGAATACATAAAAAATCTAATTGAAAATCTATTCATAAGGTTTAAAGGTACAAAGACACAGAATATAAATATATACACAGAATACAGTATAACAGGTGTAATTGAGAAGCATTTACTGTTAAATAATCTGGATCAACCCCAGTGAATTTCATGCTGTTTGTTGCCATGTGTACATTTATGTTTATTTGTATTTTGTGTACCTTGTTTATTGTCAATTGTCATGATATTTCCAAAACAATAACCAATGTTATTTTATCACAAGACCACCTTCTATCGTTCTTCAATGTAAATGTTATTCAACTTAAATTTATACTTTATTTGGACTTAGAATTATTTTGATTTGAGTGTCTCTGATGAGTCTTGTAAACATGGCGTAGATTTTTTTAATTTTTAATTCAGATACTCTATGATAAATAACATCAGCATTAATTAGGCAATATCCCACTGAAAGTCAATAACCATTACATTTATTTGTACATTTTTATTGTATTATGAATCCTTTTACCTTTAATTTCGGTTTCCTGGGTTAAGGTCTTGGGGGCATAGCCTTGGGTTGCGGTTGTTGTGATAATCATTTAACTAGAATAAGAACGTTTCATTTATTACGACAATTTAATAAATCTCATGATAATTGCCTGCAAATCAGTGATTAACATCAAGTAAAGGAGCCTCTTAGATGTTCAACTTTAACTTTAAATTGCTATATAGATATTTTTACATTAGTTGTGGACATATGAATACAATAATTCATGACCGTAGACGAACATTTGAAATTTATGACATATAAATAAATTATTTCATATAGTATGGAAGTCTTTTTCTTATCATGAATTAACAATGAAACTCTTTTCTCATTGGGTATAAAGTAAAATAACCATACTGAACTTAAAGGAAAAAATCTAAATGAAAATGTAATCAAATGGCAAAACAAAAAGTTGAAACATATCAAACGGATGGAAAGCAGTTGTCACATTCCTGACTTTATAATGCATTTTAATATAATTATGCCGAGAAAATACAACACTTACCACTGTTATCAACAAGAACTTGTCCAATGATGTGTCTTGATGCTCTTATAGCCCTTTTTGAAGAGTCAAACATAAAGTCATTGTCTGTAAGAACATGTTCTGCAAACTGGAAAATGTATAAATCGAGAATATTCAATTCAAAGAGGATGATGTTGACACCAAAACTTGTAAGCGGAGCTATAAAGCATGTTCCTCAGACGAGATTTATAAAGGTGTACATATTTTACGGGTTAAATCAACCAAACATTTTTTTGAAATAAATTTCTGAAGAAATTGCAATACATGTATTAATGTTTAAATATTTGGTCGATACCAAAATAGGAATAATTGGTCTTAGTACACCGTGAATAAAAGAAACAGACTCTGACTTTCAAACGAATGTAAGGATTGGTTTTTTTTCTTCTAATATTCGTGATATTTTTGTATTTTTACATTTTCCGACCGGTGTGAGAAAAATATTTTTAGTCTCTACAGAGAGAAATTTGTTCTCGGCAAATGATTGGTCGAATTTCTATGGCATCAAAATCTTGCTTTCCAAATTTTCTATTACTGTGGATTCATTTATTTTCGTGGGTACCAATTTTCGTGGATTAAGAAAAACTTACATGTTCGTGGATATTTAATTTCGTGGTTTAGCCATAATGTGTATACAAGTCTATAGGAAATTTGTAATTCGTTGAATAATTAATTTCGTGGTTCATCTGTACCCACGAAATACACGAAAATTGG